GCTCTGAGGAGACCTTTGTTGTGTTTACTGGGTTTTTTTTTTCCCCTGGAGACACGGTTTCTCTGTGGTTTGGAGCCTGTCCTCGCTCTTGTAGACCAAGCTGGTTTCAAAATCACAGAGATCTGCCTGCCTCTGCCTCCCGAGGGCTGGATTAACAACCTGCTCCACCAGCCACTACTGCCCAGCTTTTTTTTTTTTTTTTCTTTTGAGGCTGACTCTCACTTAATAGCTTTAGCTGACCTGGAATTACATTCCAGGAATGAAACTTAAGTTATAGGCTGAGCCATCTCACTGACCCATATTCAATATTAATCAGTTTATTTTACATTTAGTGTGTGTATGTTCACACATGTCTGTGTATTAAAATGTGAGTGTGTAGTGTGGGGATGGCAGAGGACAGCTTTCAGGAGTCCGTTATCTCCTTCCATGTGGGTTTCAGGGCTCAAACTTCAGATATTAGGCTTGCCTTTACCCACTAAGCCATCTCACAGGGTGGCCGCTCCCCTTCCCAATATTTAGTGGAGAGAGTTATAGTGACTCAGCTGACAGCTAGAGGGTCTTGGTGTTTGCAATTCAGCCTTGAGAATCCAAGGTTAGAGCTCACAGGATTAGATCCAGCCTAATTTTATTGAGCTAGGTGTTAGATTTTTGCTTAAATTAGAAATAAAAAGAGGCGTTATTTCTAATTTAAACAAAAATTTTAACAGTAGGGTCTCATCTTCTCTCTAAAGCATCTACCAAAGGTAAGTGGAAAGCCTCACTTTAACAGAGAATTCCCAGTTAGTTCATGACTACTAGAATTTTATGACAACTAGGGAGATTTGAGCTTTCCACTGAGCAAGCACAGGACAGAAGTGCTAGGACCTGCCAAAAGTACTGTGTGAACTGAGAAGACTGCACCAGACCTTACTGTCACCAATCCTGCCCTAGGGGAGCCTGGCTGGTTGCAGCCTCGGCAAACTATAACTTCCTGTACTGTTTTCTCAGGCTAACTAAGAAGGGTTCCTAGATTTAGTATTTTATGTTTGTTCAGAAACCTGTATACGCAGGTTGCTAATGATCCTCCTGAAAGTATTTACAGAATCTCATTATAACTCCCTTTGCTTCTATCCACAGCCATCATGCCCAGAGGACATAAGAGTAAGGTTCGTGCTCGAGAGAAGCGCCGCCAGATCCAAGATGAGGCCCAGGGGTTCAAGGATGCTCAAGCAAAGGCAGAAGAGAAAGAAGAGGCATCCTCCCCCTCTGCTTTTGATTCTGGAGATGCTGTTGCAAGCACCTCTACTGCTTGCCTGCCTCCCAAGTGCAAACCTCAGGGTGAGGCATCTACAATCACTGCTGGGAAACGTGTGGCCCGCAAAAGATCTGGTAAAGGTGCCAAAGGCCGAAGGGAGCAAAGTCCTAGTTGCTCTAAGGCCCCACACTCCGCTGAGAGCCCCCAGAGTGATCTTCTATCAAGGAAGACGGGAATGCTGATGCAGTACCTGCTCTGCAAGTACAAGATGAAACAGCCAATGAATAAGGGAGAAATGCTGAAAATTGTCAACAAAAGATTCAAGGAGCAGTTTCCTGACATCCTCAAGAAGGCCTCTGAGCGCATCCAGCTGGTTTTTGGTCTTGAAGTGAAGCAAATCAAGCCCAACAGTAGCTACTACACCCTTGTCAGCAAGTTAGATCCTGGCCAGGATAGGGCTCTGACCACTGGCTTGCCTTTTCCCCAGAATGGGCTGCTGATGCCTTTGCTGGGTGTGATCTTCTTGAATGGTAACCGTGCCTCTGAGGCAGAGATCTGGGAATTCCTGAATATTTTAGGAATTTATGATGGGAAGGCACACATTATCTTTGGGGAGCCCCGAAAGCTCGTTACCAAAGATTTGGTTAAGGAAAAATACCTGGAATATCGTAAGGTACCTGGTAGTGATCCTCCATCCTATGAGTTCCTGTGGGGTCCCCGAGCCCGTGCTGAAACTACCAAGATGAAAGTTCTGGAGTTTTTAGCCAAGGTCAATGAGACCGTTCCTCAGGCTTTCCCATCTCATTATGAAGAGGCTTTGAGAGATCAGGAAGAGAGAGCCCAAGCTGAAGCTGTAGGGGGGCATGGCACTACTGCCAAAGGCAAGGCAGAGTTTGAAGTTGCACCTGGTGACGACTAGCTCCTAGAGAAATTAAGAGGCAGATGTAGCCTTAGGATTGGAGCAGGGTTTCCCAGCTTAAAAGTAGTAAGAGGCTGATGGTGCATGTGTATTTTCTTGTGCTTTGATTATATATTAGTATTTTCAAGTCTTTCCTTGAAGTTTTTATTTAGATTCAGGATCAGTGGTCATAAATGACGTAGATCATGCTATCGGTTGCTAGAAGATTTAAGTATAAGAATTTTGGTATTCTGTGTTACATTCTAAAAACCCTTGAATGCGTAAAGTTGAAGAGCAAGCAGCCATGACTTTGTAATGGAGATTTTTGAAATATGTGAAAGAGTGCAATTTGTTTGTTAAAATAGGAAAAGAAATCAAAATGTAAAAACTACCGTTTTCCCTTACTCACTTTTGGTTCCATTCCACTTTTTGGCAAAGTTTGAAGAAATATTAGTTGTTAACAATAAAAATGTAAAAAGAAAGAAAATTTGTTCTTTGCTCAATAGATAACTTGTTCTGGTTACCCTCTCTTTGTTGTGCCACGAAGAAGAAGAGAAACAATGCTTATGGGTTCCAAAGATTTTATTTATTCATCACATAGGCAGATAACTGATTGATCAGGGCCACAGGACAAGGACTAGGGATTGGGAGCCTTTATTTCTCTTTTTCTTAGCAGGCAGAAGTGGGGTTTATAAGCATAAAATTCACAAACATTTGTTGCCAGGTTATAGTTACAGTTTTCACCAATCAGGATTTAGAGATTAGGCACTGCCTTGAATATTCCATTATTGTCAACTGACATACAGTGCAAGCCTTGTAGTCCAATCAGTCAGATTCATTTGTTCCTTTTATTGTTAGGAACAACCAACCATATTGGTGCTAGAGAAATAAATATGCATAATGACGATTTCTATGGTTTCAGGAGGAGGTCAGTCAGCCATTGGAAAGTTGTCAACTCCCTTAGGGCTTGGGAACCTGAACTTAATTTCACTCTGCAGGTAAAATGGAGTCTGAAGTCAAAATGGCAGTACTCAGGCCAAGGCACTTTTGCCTGCTCCCTTAAAATTGTATTGACAATTTTAAGAAATGAGGCCTTTGTGCCTATCCATAGAAATTGATGCAGTACACTAACAGAACAAATAAAAATGTCAAAATGCTGCCAAAGAAGGTCTGGATGAGAGCTGGGAAAGTGGAAATTCCCAAGCCTATTTACTTTGGGGTTTGGAACATGTGTTATTTTTTTTAGATGTTTTTTGTAGTTTTAGTTTGCTGATTCTTTTCCAATTATTCTCTCATAAAATACCTCCCGACTACAGCCTCTGCCATGTCTCCTCCTCCCTCCCACCACCATTTCACCTCTCTCCCAGATCCCCTCCTGCTCCACTTACCTTCAAAAAAGAGCAGGTCTCCCAGGGATATCAGCCAAGCACAGCATAACAAGATTCAATAGGATTAGGCACGGTACACCATGTGGTGGCTAGACAAGGTAACCCACTGGGAGGAAAGGGTCCCAAGAGCAGGCAAAAGAGAGGCAACTACAGTCCCACTGTTAGGAGTCCCATAAAAACCCTAAGTTAAACAACCACAACATATATGCAGAGGACCTAACACAGACCAATGCAGGCTTTGCCATTGCAGCCTCAGTCTCTGTGAGCCTCTATGAGCCCTGCTTAGTTGGTTCTGTCGGCCATGTTCTGGTGCTCTCAACCCTCCTGGTGCCTACAGTCCCTCCCCTCTCTTCTTCTGGGTTCCCAAACTGCTCCTGAGGTTTGGTAGTGTCTCTGCATCTGCTCTCATCAGTTGCTGGAGGAAGCTGCTCTTATAACAATGGGTTAAGCACCGATCTACAAGTATAGCAGAATATCTTCTTTTTGCTTCAGATTTTGGAGATTTATTTTTTAAAGATTTTATTTATTTATTTATTATGTATACAACATTCTGCTTCCATGTATATCTGCACACCAGAAGCAGGCACCAGATCTCATAATGGATGGTTGTGAGCCACCATGTGGTTGCTGGGAATTGAACTCAGGACCTCTGGAAGAGCAGTTGGCGCTCTTAACCTCTGAGCCATCTCTCTAGCCCCCGCAGATTTATTGTTTTAAAACAAAAGGTTAAAAAAGTCCTTAATTTCCAACCCTGCTTGGGGGTGTGGGGAAGGGGGCAGAGTAAACTGAGAAAGTGCCCACCCTTCACAGGAAGAGTCTGACTTTACAGTATACCCAGAGAAAGTCAGAGGAGGCCTGCCCTTCCTTAGGTAGATGTTACTGTTATACAAGTTTACACGCAAGTGTGGGAGTGGAAGGCCTCCAGCCAGTCTTCAGTTGCACACTTCCTCCCATGAGGGTGTGTGTGTAAGGATGGGCAGGCAGGTAAGTCATGGGAGGCTTGGGCATTGGGCCACATAGTGTAGCCCCTGGAGCTTCCTTACGTTGTCTGCCAGCCAGCAGGACACACTGCCAGTTTGGTGTGAGGAGACCTCCCCAGAAACCTGCCATCTGGAGGGAACCTGTAATCTCCAGCTCTCGGGGTTTGCCCTTCTATTCCCCAGCTTCAGGTTGAGTGGAGTCTAGGACAAAGCACTAAGTGGCTGTTTGTGACAAAAGACTTGGAGATGCCAGAGGGCAGCTCTCGGCCTGACAGTCCAGGCTCCCAGTCACACAGTCATACACACGGTGTTAAGGTGTCTGTGCCAGTAGGCACGGCCAAACTGGGCCCTGGCTGCCCTTGGAAGTAACCCAACTTAAGTTGGAGAGCTCTGACCATAAATGCCATGGAAAATGGGGGACAGAGAAAGGATTGGGGGGATGACTAGAACATTGGGACTTTGGAGAAAGCCAGTGCTGTATTTACAAGCCCAACGCCCCATCTTCTGTGCCACCTACCTTGCTACCCTCCTACAGAAATGGCCACTGAAGAGGCACGGAGACCTCCTCACAGCTGCACCCCTAGGGAGAGCCCCTTCCCTCCAACTGGCCCTATCCCTGGCTCCTCAGGAATGTCTGTGGCTCTGCTCCATTAGGAGGCAGCGCCCACCTGGAGCTTGAACCCTGGCTGCCCGTTTGGGCAACAGGCATCAGAGACTCTCGTATCTTCAGGGCAGGCCCCAGCTTGATGTTCATGGTACTCATCAGGTGGCTGTCCTTGAGCAACAACAGGGCTTGTCCATCAACCTCCTGGGTACGGAACTCCTCTGCCATCTCCTAGCAACCTGGTAGAGAGTGGATGAATTCATAGACATCTTCTACATTCCACTTCGTGGACTCACTTGGTAGGAAGTGGTGTCCCATGCCCACCAAGTCCAGCATGTGCATGTCAGGGTGCTCCAGATCCCTCTGGCCTTGTCGTTGTCGGGAGGTGGATGAGCTGGCTGTGATAGGTGACAAGGGTTCCCCATAGCTTGAGTTATCTGAGCACTGGTTGGAGTCTTCCTGGCTGTGTGTCAGCTGCAAGGCAGCAGTAACTGAAAGGGGTACAGTGCCCAAGGGCTGCTTCTTTGTGTCCTTGGTAAGTGTGGGCAGACTAGTCTAGCTGACCCAGTAGAGGTTGTGGGTTGTGGTCCCTGCCTTCTGCAGCTTGCTTCAGTGTGAGTGAAAGAGTCCCACAGGTTTGGAGAATACCACATTATACCTCTTTGCACAAGCCATGGAACAGAAGTGCTTGGAACACTTGAACTTGTAGGCAAAGTCCTCCGGTCCACAGAGCTCACACTTGAGTTTGAGGAGGGTACCCCCCTCTTTGGATTCTTGCAGGTAGGGTTCCTCCATCTCTGAGTCCGTGGTGGTGGTATGATCCTGCTGGGGAAGCTTCTCCGGCAAGAGCCCCTGTGCATACTTCTTGAGATTCCCCACCAGCAGGGAAGAGCGACCCCATCATTCTGGAGGGGCAGTACTGGTGATGCTGCAGGCAGAGTTTCCTTTCTCTGAGGTCATGCCAGACGGGCTGAGGTCGGTCAGTGCATGAACAATGCCCTGCCCTGTCTCTGTCTGGGGCCTGGCCTGGCCTGACTGTGTGGGGCCTACGCAGCCCCTTGGCCAAGTGCTGCCTGGAGCCGGACCCGGGCAGCTGCATCCTCGGCGCCGGGAGCCTCTGAGCCAGGGCCCTGGGCTGCAGCTGTGCATCTGACTGCAGGGCCAGGCGGCCTGGACAAAGGGCATGGGGCACCATGGGGCCAGAAGGGCAGGTGGCGACCAAGCTGTGGTAAGTGCTCGAGGGCTGCGACACTAAGGAGACAATGCGGTACGTTCAGGCCAGGTCCCAGGCCGCCTTCACTCAGCAGAATAGCTTTAGGAATAATTTCATTGATTATTTATTTATTTATTTATTTATTTATTGTCAGTCGTGTTTGGTTTTTCCCTAGGTCTCTGAGCCATCCAGCTTCCAGTTGCTGGCCATCTGGGCAGGCTAGGGTATGGGTTCCAACACATGGCTTGGGCCTCAAATTAGACCAGTCACTGGTTTGCCATTCCCACAAGCTCTGAACCACCATTGCCCCAGCAAGTCTTGCAGGCAGAACAGGTTTGGGTTCAAAGGTTTTGTGCCTGGGTTGGTGTCTCAGTCCCACCATTGGAAGCCTAGCTTGGTTATAGAAGATAGTTGGTTCAGGCAGCATACTGGGCTGCATGGAACCTATCTCAAACAAATGAATCATCAAACAAAAAGAAGTGGAGGTTTCCAATTACAGGTGTTAAGGGATTTATTAAAATGGGGAAAACTGGCAATGATTTAAAAATAATAGCTAAATTATATATAACCATTTCATCAACAAAATATAGCAAATTAAACACCAATATACCATCAACATTTCTGTATCAAGATGACATGTGTTATGTATGGCCAAGATGACATGTGTTATGCACGGCTTGGATATGATTTGTCCTTTCCAAAAGTCACTTTGAAGTTTTAACCCCATTGGGAGGTATTAAAAGGAGAGAACACTGATCCAACTATGGTGCTTTAAAAATGAGGCCTCTGGAACACTGTGATTAGGTAAGATCAAAGGGGTAAAGATGCTATGATTG